CGGCCGCAGCGCGGGGAGCGGGCGCGCCGGTGTCCCCGGGAGGGCTGGGGGGCACAGCGCGGGGCTGGGGGTGTGAGCTGGCGCTCCGCTGCTCGGGTACTCGTGGGCTGGTTTAAGAGTTGTTAAAGAGCGTGTGCGTGCAGTGCTGCTCCCCTGCAGCCGGCCTCATCAGTGAGAGTCTAAAGCGAGTGCCGAGAGTATGGGTCCAGGCTCTGCCCCGTGGTGCCGAGCCATGAGACAAGAGGCAGCGGGCAGGTACTGCTGCACAGAAGATAGATAGATACAGATACTGGTGCACAGAAGTTCCACCTGAACGTGAGGAAGAACTTCCTTACTCTGCAGGTGATCGTGCACTGAACAGGTTGCCCAGAGCTGTTGTGGAGTCTCCCTCACTGGAGATACTCCACACCCATCTGGATATATCCCTGTGCCATGTGCTCTGAGACGACCCTGAAGGGTTGAACCAGATGATCCATTGTGGCTCTTTCCAACCTTAGTCAGTCTGTGATTCTGTGATTTTGAGTGGACAGCTGTGCTGGAGGAGTAAGGCAAGTTGTTCAGTCTCTGAAATATCAGTGAAGAGCCTTTCTGGTACTGAGATGAGTTGCAGTGAAGTCATGATAACAAAGAAAGAAGAAGAAAAATACTTTGAGTGCTACAAATCTAGATTCTTCAAAGAGCCTTAGATTAATTCTTGCAGTAATGATGTTAGCTTGAATGACACACTGGAAGGCTCTGTCAAAAGCTGTCATCAGGTTTACACCATTCTAATGGTGTAAATCCAGTGTTCAATATTGACTTAATTTGAGCTCCAGTAATGTAAGTTAATTGAGGAACTGATCCCCTGATTTCTCCATGCTTCTTTGATTATTACTTTTGCCAGTAGGTTTAATGCCTCAATATAAAATTAGGGATACTTCTGTTGTAACACTTAGAGATTGCCACATTGTTAGGTTGGTGGTTCTTGTTTCTTTTATCTTAATAATGGTAGAACATGAGAGGTAAGCCACCAATTTGACCAATTAGTGTATAGTAAAACACAGGCCAGGTTATATAGCATTTCTAAATCATACACTGCTCCTTCTGTGTACATATGTATGTAAATACATACCTCCATCTGTGCAGGTATGTATTTATAAACCCAGTATTAGATTTAACTTCTTGTTCTGTATATCACATTATTTCCAGTTTATTAGGAAGATTATGAGTTTTGATCTAAAAATTGGGAATTAATTCTAGTTTTGTCCAAATCATGTTTCCTCAAGCACTGGAACTTCACTGATACTTAGTTCAGTAGTGTGCATAGGCCAAGGAAACTATTAAATGTTCTTGGGTGTTTTTCTTTCTGCAGGCCTTTCATATTTATATACAAATATGGATAAAATTAATGGGACTGGGGGGGGGGGCTTTATGTGCCTATTCCAATTTCACAAACAATTTAGAAAAAAAAAAAAAAAAAAAGGTGGTCTTTTCCTGTACTAGTTGTCATTCTTCCATCTCTTCTTTCTGTTTTCACAGGATAGATAAATTACTTAAAAATACTTCTGGTTTCCATGCAGCATTTTCACTGACTTTGGTTGTGAAGGCTCATCATATGATACAGATAACTTAAAGAGATCTTGGACAGTTCTTGAAGGTTTTTTGACTACATTCTACATTTTGAATTGCAGTAAGTATAGCTGCTTTAAGCTGGTTTTATTTAGGAAACAGTAAAAAATTCATAGAAGGAGAAATTTCTAGCATCCTTCAAGAAGTAACCTATTTTCTGTCAGTGTTACTAAGAATAAAAATCTGCATATGTTTTCTTTGTGATTTCTGACAAGTTTTTTTCCCCTCTTATTGGTGTTTTGCAGATAAGAGTTGCAACACAGCACATGCCTAAGTATGCAGTCTGCTAATATGCTTCTTAGAAAAATTTTAAGAAGTTCTGACCTTCCATTTGCTGCACAACATGGGATGAAAAAGGATTTCCTTCCACTCAGTAGAACTCTGAGTTTATCACTTTGTCTGAAGCAGGACAAGGCATGTGAACCCTCAGAAAAACTAGATTTAGATGAGTGGAAGAAGGTAATGAAATCCGGGTTGCAAGAAGAGGTCAGTGAGATGGTCTCGGAGCCTAAGGAGCTTTCCAGTTTGGCTGCTGCACGTGAGACTTTGGAGATGTGGAGACTAGCTGGCAGAGCAGTTCCAGAAAATATTAGTGAAGAACAGTTAAAAACTTTTATGGAGTGTCCTTCTAAGTCAGCCAAAAAGAAGTATGTAAAATATTTGCATCTCAAAGAACTTCACAAGAAAAATGACAAAAGAAAGATGGATGAGAAAAGGGAAAGGAGGCTGGAAGCACAAGATCAAGCTTCAAAAACAGATGAGACAAAAAAGAGTTCATTCATATGTATGTGGTCCAGCACTATGGATAAAGCATACAACTGGAGGGCTGCTCAGTCCATGATCTTTGGCCAGCCTCTAGTATTTGACATGTCTTATGAGAAAGAAATGTCTGTCCGAGAAGTCACAAATACAGTGAGACAGATAGTAATGAGTGAAAGCTGCAACCGGAAATCTGTGGATCCATTCCATATCCACTTCTGTAACTTCAAAGATGATAGCCTCTATCATAGGGAATTTATCAAGAATTATAGAGAGGCATGGGACAAACTGCTTATCACAGTGACAGACCGGTGCTACACAGAAATCTTTCCAAAGGATAAGCTTATCTATCTGACAGCTGATTCTCCCAAAGTAATGAAAACATTTGATCACGATAAGATCTATATTGTTGGGTCAATGGTTGACAGGAGCATAAAAACAGGAGTCTCTTTAGCACGGGCAAAGCGATTAGGACTGGAGACTGCAGCCCTTCCACTGGAGAAGTATTTGCTTTGGAATACTGGTGCCAAAAATCTCACGCTGGATCAAATGATGCATATTTTATTAACCTTGAAAGATACTGCTGACTGGAAGAAGGCTCTGGAATTTGTTCCAAAAAGGAAATATTGTGGTTTTGTAAACAAACCTCTAAAGGATCTGAAAAAAACATTAGAGCTGGTCAACACACTTAAACTTGGAAAGGGACGACAAGTAGAAGAAAAGCGATTTGTCAAGAACTACCCCAAGAAGTATAAACTAAAGCAAAAGTAGAATGATGGGGAGGAGAATGAATTTTTTACATACAAGCTGTGTCCTTTAATGCTTCGGCTTCTCGGTACATCTGGAACTCTGTTCAGCTCTTAATCCCAGAACATGTTTTGTTGCTTACATATGAAATGATCATTGTTAAGAGTTGGGTTTTTTAAATTACTTTACTAGTCCAGCTGTTTAAATTTATTCACACATTATTGAAATTATGTAAGAGAAATGAGATAATCTGTTGTAAAAAAAAAGAAAAACTCTACATGAAGACTATCAGTCTGTTCAGTGGAACTGTGCTTGGGCAAGGGTAATTGTTACTGAATGCAAAGGTCTTCAGAGCTCACTACTTTGGAGGCTGTCTACAGTTTTATTCTAAAAGATGACTAAGATGAAGTAGAAGAGACCTCTCCCATTACTTCCTGAGTCCTCTTCTGTGCAGATGAATTGACCTTTGGTAGCTGAACTAAAATGGTTAAAACCTTGCATGAGTTTGGGGCACTGCACCATTTATTTCTGGATGTTCTATCTGGCACAAATCAAGTCACTGTTTGGAAGGAATAAGGCAAATTTTGTGACTGCACCAAAAAAAAACAAACCAAAAAAAAAAAACCAAAAAACAACTCACCTACTTTTGTGTAAGACTTTTATCCCAGAGTACCTGTGTTTTCAGGCCATGTAATGTAGATTTCCCAAAGTGCTGGAACTTATGAGATGGTAAACAGTCCTATTAGTAAATACTTGGAGGAGCAGAGAGCTTTTTAATTATTTCTCACAGCTCAAAATGTTTTGGTGTCTGAAAGTCTGTGTTCAGGCTGCAGAGCTGCCATGGGCAGCTAAATACAGGCCTGCTCTGCTGTCTGTAGGATGAGGAGGGTTTTCTTTGTGAGTGATGGTTGAAGTCAGTGATGGCACATGATGAGTTGGTGCTGACCCACTCCCTGGGGACCTCTTCCTACCTGCTGTTGCAAGGTGGGGGTTGGAAGGCAGAAGATTCTCTAGCCCAATACTGCCCTTCACTGCCTGTTGCGAGGTGCAGGGACCTCCAGGCATGGATAGCCTCTGGCACAGGGAAAGAGCTGCTTCCTTTCAGCTTACAGTGGTTGGGAAGTACACAATGCTTCACCTTAGGGTGGTGTTCCAGGTGATGATTGTGAAAAACGAGGTTCACATAATTTTTATAGAATTTAAAAGTTTAATGAAAAAAAGATAATTTGGAGAAAGAAAAAGTGCAGATACGGCTGGGTGTCTCTGCATTCAGCCAAGAGAGCACACCTTACTGACAAAGGATTGTCCCTTAAAAACAGAATCCTACTACATATCCATAGATTCTCATACATATTCATACATTCATCTTAGGATCTTTGGTGTTCTTTTGTTTAGTTTTCTCTCGCCCCCTTCCCAATAGATCAGTCTTCTTGGTGCCATTGAGATTTACATTCCCTGATACCAGAAATGTAATAAATTCCTCCCCCCCCAGAGTTCTGGTCACTTCTGTCTTCATATGGATAAGATAGTTTACAAATGCAGGAGTTCTCTAGCTATTTCTTTTTTTCTCAGTCTTTGGGTTATACAAACAAAAGCAGTTTTCATTTTAATACTATGCTATAGCCTAACATATATGTATTATACTACTATTTCTAAGTTTTATCAATAACAGAAATAAATAAAACTATATTAATACAACAAAATTTCCCATTCTTATACACATAACATTCATTTTAATATTTGCAAAAAGCCAACAATATAATATGTGTCTATAACATGATTGAGAGCTGCCTTCAGCTCATGGGAAGCCCTTAAGTGTAAGGACTGGCTGTGTGAGTGTGTGTGTGCTTCACTCTTTGTGCAAGGGAGGAAGAGACAACAAAGGAGCTACGTGCTGCTGAATGTCATAGAACTGCTTTGGGCTGGAAGGGGCCTCATCTAATTCCAACCTCCTGCCATAGGCTGGGGACCATGTCCCTTCTGTCATTTGCTCTTCCTCGATACAAACAGCCTCTTCTGATGTGCAGACTGGCTTGTACACTGGGGTGGGGGGAAGGTGGTGTCACTGCTCACTTGAACTCCTGTTACACAATCACAGACTGGGTACTTTGGAAAGGGCCACAATGGATCGCCTGGTCCAATCTCCCAAATCGTGCAGGGTCATTCCCGAGCACATGGCACAGGATTGCATCTGGAGGTTTCTGGAGTATCTCCAGTGAGGGAGACTCCACGCTCCCTCTGAGCAAACCTGTCCCAGTGCTTGGTCACTGCACAGTCAAGAGTTTCTTCCTCAACTTCAGGTGGAATTTCTGTGCATCAGTTTCTGCCCGTTGCCTCTTGCCCCACGGCTTGGCACCATCGAGCAGAGCCCGGATCCTTCCTGGCGTACCACCTCCACACGCTTTAGATATTTATACACACCGAGGAGGCAATGAGGTAATGATACTTGTGAATCACGGAAGGTAATCGTTAAAACCACGCGCAGTGAGGAGGGCGCGGCAGCGGACGTGGTTCCTTCGCACCCCCGTGACGCAGAGGCTCCGGGTGCGATGCCGGGAGTGCCGGGGGTGGGGGTGGGACTGATCCCACCGCTTTCTCCTGGGGAGGGAATGGA